GAGAGAGAGAGAGAGAGAGAGAGAGAGAGAGAGAGAGAGAGGCAGGTCGTTGTGATCTTTCCATAAATATATTTTCTTCAATGTATTTCTTGTTGTCTCACTTATACGGTGAATCAATGGATATGAGATGTGGCTTTTAGATCTCCAGCAATATGTTTGTGAATGTGTGACGAATGTGTCGACAGAGCCAGAAAACAGCTGCTGCTGTTCAGTGAACACAACACACGCACGGAAGGGAAACCAGTATGTTTGAAAACCAGTCGGGCTGTAACACCGGTACGAGAGCTGAACTTTGCACCAACTGAGTGAAGATCGAGCGTTAGCATTACACCACGGGGATCTGTAGCCCATATAGCTACATACGGTGATAGTTTAACCCTTTGTTGTATAATATCGTTGTTTGTGTTTGATCAATTGTCCACAAATGTTTTCTATCTGTTCGTGAATCCTATGATGGTGGAAGCACGGTGAATGGTGATAGTTAAAGAGGTTTAATTGTTTGTTGATGGTATAATAACATCCTGGTTCACTTTTGGTCGCTAAAAATGCTGAAGTATAATATATATATAAATATATGTGTCAGAACATGTTTAGATTATAGGATGTGACACTGGTGCTTAATACTCAAACCATCATGAATGCTTGGTGGTGGGCCCAGAGGACTCCTGGAGCAGCAGACATGGAGGTTTCATATATAGATATCTTGGTGCATTCAGCACCTGGTTTACTCAAGCAGCAGCTCATCAGACAAGTCTGCTGCCATTCTAGCTGCTGCATGTGTGTGTCCACCTGGATACATTACTGTCAGAGATGATGTCACTGATGATATCACTAATGGGCTTACAAACTAACACTTGACTGCTGATTCTGCTTCATTGGTTCTTTATTTCTCTTTTCTATCTCTATTTACCTGTTGATGTGTGATTTCCTTCAGCCTCGAGTCCTGGAGAAATAGACACATATTTGTTGTTTTAAGTGAATATAATAGAAATGTATTTGCAATTTTCACCGAAAACTTATTGTGATGTTGTTACATTTATATTCAGACAGTTGAACCTGCATTAAAAAACAAGACTGTGTTTAGACGTCTCCATCTGTTTCAGCCAATCACAGAAGAGGAGATTAAAGGGTCATACTTCTTTGTGACAATACGACAAACAAGACATTTATAATTTTTTTAATTTAAATGCTTATTAACAAGGGCTTCCCTCAGAAGGCAGAGCATCCTGAGGGGAGGGGCTAAAAACAGAGAAATGTCCAAAGTTAAGAAGACATAATAACAACATATTAAACATATTAAAAAGAGGAGAAAATGGTGGTGAACAAGAGATGAGTGAAAGACGTGGAGAAGCTGAGTCACCTCTACCAGACATCATCTCTGGAGGACTTCCACATCTTCATCCTGTGCTCTGAACACAGGAACGTGGTTTTCACTTTCATGGAATGTTGATCAGGTAATAAATACTTTATAATAGATTCTGTAACCTCTTATAACAAAGTAACTGAATTAGAGAAGTGTTACCATGATTCTATTAATGTAGGTTGAGCCTTACAGTCGAGCATTGTAATGAAAATCTGCTGGAACATCTGTCTACACGGTCGTGTTCCCCAAGTCAAAGAAGATTAAATGCATATAAAGCCAGTTAAAACAGAGCCTACATACAAGAAGTGTTAAACTATTTTATAACAAACATAATACAATGAAGGTGGGATTTTAACAAGGACAAATGACAAAGTTTCAATATAAATAAGGAAGGAAGCGTATTTAATTTAGAACAAGAACACCATCATTTAAATAATGTTTTCATATTCAGAGTACGTGGATGAAGTGATGAGGCTTGTACTTGAGGAGGTGTTTGAGGACCCGACTCCATTTGTTGAGGAGTTGAAGACGAGGACCTGTGGTGCCAGTGAGAGACCCTCAGAGGAGGAAGTGTTGCCGCCACGTGTCCCGCTTCAGTCCAGGAGCAGCCTGAAGGCCACAACAGGACGGGATGACGACCCTCATGTCCTCAAGAGAAGCAGCTGACGAAGGATCTCCTGTATGGAGAGGAGCACACATCATTACCATCGCAGATAAAATATGTTCTATGTACAGTATGACAGCATTTACTCATGTTTATGTTTTATGATATTATTATTGGAAGTCATTTGGAGGAAAAATCAATCATTGTCATTTCTTCATTAGTTCTTATGCTCTTGAGTTCTAAAGAAACATTAGTGTTCAGATGTAGTTTACACAGATTTCATTATATGTAATAACTTCCTCTTCTCCTGTTCCACAGTCACATGTGTACACGTCCTGATGTTCTGCAGGGTTTATGGACTCGAGGATGTGAACATGTAGCAGGAACTGGAAACTAATGAGGAACATAAGACTCTGACTTACATGAAATATTGTTTGTTAATAAAGTAAATAATGAGTCAGGAGGCAACATCACTGCAGAGGACAAATATTAATCCAGGAAGCAAAAATTATACTTCAAATAAGTTGTTGATAAACATAATTGTAAAATGCAGCTCCATTTTAGCAGAAAGGTTACACTTAAGACATTTGATATTACTAGTGTTGTTACTGTATACAACACAAAGCTGTACTCTCTAAATCTGTGTACTCTACATAACATGACCAAAGTCACTAATAACACACTTTAGGTTGAACAGGGAACATGTGTTAGAAGATAACTTTGGTAGTATTTCTCTACTGAGGCAGCGTGAGTGTAACTCTGAGCTGCCGTTACTCAGATGAAGAGGAGGACTTGTGTTCTTCACAACAGCTTCTGAACTGCGGTTGTGTAAAACTGATTCTATCTGATTTCACAAGAAGCTGCTGACTAATTGCTGATTATAGGACCGTTTCCGTGACAGGCTGAGCTGTTCCTATCAGATGAATGCTGTCAGATATTAGAAGTAGTAATACTACTGCGTAGAATGTCCTGCATTCAAAGAACATATATACATAAGTATCCAAGTAAAAGTACTCATTATACAGGATGGCCCCTGTTATTTCATTAATTCTATGTCATTACATGGTAAATAATATTTTAAAAAGGTATTAAAATAAACAGACTGACTTAATTTTGTAGTTTTCTTTATTAAATCAAAATTCATTTCTCAGGATTATGACATTTAGTTTATGTACATGCATACTGAACATATTCCTTCTTTCAATGTATTTTTCGGAAAGTGGCCGTCGACGGAGGCAAAGAAAGAAATATTGTGTTCAGATTATTTAACACATTTAAAACCAACTTCTTCCATACAAGATCAGGATTCAAAATGTCTTTCCTCACCAACAAAGTTTCTGCAACACTTCACAGACACGTGGAGACTATTGTATTTTTAAATAACAATACTTTGAGAGCATCAGAGGCCTCCCAATAAACGTCAGATTCTTTCCCATCATGGATTTAGTGTCAAAAATAATGTAAACAAACAGCTGAATGATTGAAATTATGACTTTATTAAATTCAACATTACTGGCAGCAGCTTCTTTCTAGTGTTTACAGGTGAAGCCATTTATTTTGTACACTTTTCCTCTGCAACAAGTGATGAACGACAAAGATGAGCACAAGAGTGAGGGCTTCATATTTCATCGTTTTCTGCATTTATTTTATTTTTGTAAGAAATCATTGCACATTACTTGTTTTATCCGACCTAAAGTCAAAAATCTGAAAGGAATTCAAATTATAGAATTGTGTAAAGCAAAAGAAAAGCAGCAAATTCTTGTATTTGAGGAGCATGAAACCAGAGACGGGTTTATATGTTTTGCTTGATAAATCACTGAAAATGGTTCATGGGATTATATAATGGGGATCTGGGGCTCTGCAGCAAACAACCAGGATTGTCATTGTGAGTTCTACATTCAGATAATCTGCCAAAAATCTCCCCTTTTCACCAGAAATGAACACTGAATATAAGAGAAATGTATTAACAGGAGAGTTTCAAGACGGCGTACTCGGGCCACTGGAGAAAAAGTAAAAAACAATAATTAAAGAGCCGGGGGAGGGGGTTAAAAACTAATCATTTCCCAGATTTAAATGATAAATTTAGGAGAAAAACATTGAAAAGTGAAGCAATGTAGTTCTTTGTTGATTTCATCTTCTTTCTTTAAATTTGAGACTTTTTATTACAAATCACTGACTTTATAATCTCAGAGAATATTCAAGTTTTTATTTTCTTTAATTTGTTGACATTTCTTTCCATCATAAATGTATCACTTTGTTTTCTTATTAATTTATAACTTAATTGTCAAAATGTTTTCATGTCTTTTTTCATGGTATAATACCCCCCCTCCCCCCCCCGGCTCTGTAATTACTTTGTCTTCTTTTTTTGTTTACCTACAACGGCCGTAATACGCCGTCGTAGAATTCAGTTCAGCCAAAACATGCGATGGGTTAACAAGACATCTGTACATCATCATCAGGAAACAGTTCGCCCCTCATATAAAGGTAAATAAAGCCAATGTGGTTAGTACAGTTCATCAAGAAAAAGTCCGTGTTTTATTTTCAGCCTGCGTGTTACGCTCATATGTGTGTTAAAGAAAACATTAAGGTGGGAAATGCAGACCTACTAAAGCTTACCAAATGAACAAAAATCATTCCAAACGCTCGTCTTGAGAGTCAAACAGAAAGTAAACGCTGGAATGAGTCCTCTGTGTCGAGATCTACTTTGAGAGGAAACTAAGTTTAGGTGTGACTCAAAGATAAGTGTTTTAAATGTTCTCTGGAAACAAACATTAAATCTGCCCTCTGGCTCCAGAACCTCAATATACTTCAGCTAATTTTGAGTGAAACTACTTCCTGAGATAATTCATGTCAATGTGAGCCGAGCCAAACCTCGAATGAAAGGACGTCAGCGGCGATGTTATCAAAGTGTACGACAGAGCTGTGGATTATCTCGCAGCCAAAGCTCATCTGCTCCTCCTTCAGTCAGCCGACTACTCCTAACCTCCAGGACACATAACCGTCTGTGGAATTGGTCCAAGTTCTTGATTCTCCACAAAAATCTACGTTTTGACTGATAAAACTCTGTAACATATTTAGCCGTTAGTGCCACAAGATTAACGGAGATGAATGGAATTCAGTCAGGGTTGTGAAAGTCCAAACGTACTAGAATACATACAGAAGATTGGCCCCTAATAAGGAGGCAACAGGCGTCAAAATTACAAACCAACATTAAGGCACCGACCATTTTCTCCCCGTCTACTTCGCTCTTTACGCTTCTAGTCCGCCTTTTTGTCTTTGCCCTCCTCCTCGTCGTCGGTGTACTCTGTGGGCTCGTCCCCTGGTTTCAGCAGCTTGCCGATGTAGTCGTACTTAACTGGAAGACAGGAAAAATTAAATAAATGAATATCTGCCGACAAATTACCGGAAAGAGATCACTGCATTGTGTTTTGAAGCTTGTTCATTAAACACCATTTATTTTCCCCTGAGTGAAATATCTCATTTGTTGTCTGATGATTTAAGGAAAAAAATGTGATGCATTGCAGTGAAAAGTATCGTTTCTCGAGATACTTCTCTGCCTCGATAACTGTGGCGTTTAAACCGTCACATCTCGTACTCACAGGTGAACTGAGTCTCCCACTCGGCGAGGCTCTCCTGCTGCATGGCGTTCAGGTCGGACAGGTCGTCGTGTTCGTCTTTCAGGGCCTCCTTCTCCAGGCAGAACGTAGCCAGACCTCTGGACGCATCTCTGCCCGCAAACACTCCATACGGCCCCTCTGTGAGACGTGATACAAACAGTGAGGTGAATACAGAAGACACAACCAAGAACGGCTGAAAAGTGACCATTTTAAGCTCGTTTTACATGAGATTTTATCTCTAGTAGCCGGATGTTGAGCTAGATATACATGTATACTCAGACAGAAAGATCTTTGAAATGGAGAGACGGTCATTTGATAGATATGCCTGGTGATATTCTATGTGTTTCCCATGAAAAGATCATAACCAACAACAATATATTTGTGAGGTGTGTTCAGTTGGAAACAGTGGGTTTAGAGCTGAAGCAGATTTTTGGTTTTGGTCCAAAACTATTTAGCAACACAAGGCCCTTGGTGTTTAACATCCTGCAACAGCTGTGCGTGTTATCAAAGTGTCCTTGAGCACCAAGCACTCTCTGTCCACGGACACACTTTAAATCAGCCAAATTCCTTTAATAACAAGCCACAGCAGGACTCCAGGCTTCAGGGCGTGGCGTGCAGCGGACTGAAAAAGGTTTGCATGACTGTGAGATATCTTGTTGGTCAGAGGTTACAAGCAACAAAGGTTACAATCTGAGATTAAAAAGAAAAAAAAGAAGAGGAGGTCTAACTCTGCTTCCGTTTCCAGGCCACAAAAACCACGAAGCATGACGGGGCATATTCTAATTTCAGAGAACACGTGGTTTAACTCTGGTAACATCGGTTTAACCTCACTCCTACAAAGAACAACAGATCTGAGGCCTGCTCTTACACCGATGAATTCATAACATTTATTTATGTCTGTCTTAAATTGAATACGTTTTTTTTCTTCTGATAAATCTTCCATCGATTTAGTTTTGGGATAAACGTGTGGAAACCTAATTACATAAGGTTTCCACACTATGTAATAATTCAGCATTAAACCAAACATTACAATATAAATAAAGGCCCACTGCACTTTGGAAACATGGCGGCGACCGGTTTGTTTGTGCATTTTCTTTTTATACCAAGGAGTAACTCAACGTCTCCAATAGACGATCTGTGGTTCCAGGCTATAGCAACTCCTCTGTTGTGAAACGGGATCGTCGTATTATTTGCCTGCTCGCTAAAGGGGGTGTGACGTTAGCTGCTAGTTAAAAAACTAAATTGAAACTTGTTGTATTTGGTAATAATGTCAGAGAATTGCTATCAAGTGTGAATCAATAAAATGTCACCTCAGTGCCATAGACTGTAGCTCAGAGCCAGCAGCTACCACACGCGAGCGTCTGTGAGTGGCGTAATGTTCTAAACGTTCGAAACACGAGACGGACGGAAAAGAAAACAGGTTAGACCAACTTAATGGAGAGGGGTTAGAGTAATGGTTACCTGGCCCGTAAAACTTCTTCCCTCTGGTCACGTCGAACACTTTCCCGTTGACTGCCATGAGGATCCTCGGGTCCTGGAGTCCATCGTAGGGCTTCAACTCTGCGAAGGTGAAGTCTCTCTTTTTCAGTTTGGGCAGCGGTATTTCCACCTCGCCGAGCTCCGGTGGTTTGTCCCCGCGGAAGATTTTGTACAGGAGGAACAGACAGAGGCTGAGCAGGGTCAGGTTCAGTGGGGAGGTGAAGATCTCCTGAAAAATACCACCAGAAGTTACCTCGCTTCCTTCTTCTTCGGCCATGTTGGGTCCTCTCTCTGTCCGTGTGTGTGTTGGGTGGGAGCCCACGGATTAGCCAATCACAGTGCAGCCTGAGAGGCGTCGGTTAACGGTTTGAACCAATTGGGTTAACTGTGTGCCATAAAAAGCGATCGATATATAGATAGATAAATGAATATTACATTATATATTCTAAAGTAACAATAATGTCAGGAAGTAAAGTGACATGTTTTTATCAACCTGACAAAATTACGTTCTTGTGGGAAGAAAAGGCAACACTGTAACTTCTTTACATTCTATTAGAATGTAACTTTCTTCACATTCTAATAGAATGTAAAGAAGTTACATTGTATTACAATGTAGCTTCTTTACATTCTAATAGAATGTAAAGAAGCTACATTGTATAGAATGATTCTATTGAAGTTATTCCCTTTTTAAATGTTTTAGACGAGTCACTAATCACTTTAAAATAGTGATTATAGCTGATTTAACTTACAGACATGAGATTGATCTTCTCATGTCACTCTCTTTATACAATGATATAAATTCATCCCCGTTTTATTGATATCTTACGAAATATTACTCCTCACCTTTCGTGCGTTTTTCCTGCAAAAGTCCAGCAACATGAGTCTGTTTTCGCTTGTTACATGCATACTGTCTTTTCAAAATAAACTTCCATCTTCACAGGAAACAACCGGTCACACATGAATGCTTACATTTGGTTACATTGCTATTTGCTGTCATTGAAAATAAAATGATTAAATAACAATGTATGTATAGGCTACTTGTATTGTTTAAAATAATGTCAGCAGGGACTGTTGGCCCTTGGGCATTTTCACATTATCAAATCTGGCCCTCTTTGAAAAAAGTTTGGACACCCCTGTTCTAAACTGTAGGCTATCACAATATACTTCTATTTCTGTAATTATTAATGCTAGTTTTTATTGTCGATTGTTTCATTATTTTTTATGGTTAATTGATTAGTTTAATCTATAAAGTGCCAGAAAAAAGTCAATAAATAACTGAAAAAGCTTAAACAATTAATCAATTATCAAAATGGTTGTTTTAATCAACTAATCCATATACTTATCTAATATCTATATTATATGTAGGCTATAACAACAAACATAATTTAAAAAGTTTAATTTGTTTGAATTATGTTTTGAACTTTTGATGTTATGGAGAATACATTTGGTGACCACAAAGAGACACAAAACAACCACACAGGGACGCAAAACATTTCAAAAAAAGTTGGCCTACTGAAATGTACTTTTTGTTCTATTGTCCATTATATAATAATCTTGGATACAGGCGTTTCCTTAAAATGTCCGCAGTTTGTTTTGTTTGTTCTGTCTGAAGAATGTAGACTTCAGTACCTGTTTACAGACATTGTTTCATAGCTCAGCATCTGATAAATGCTCACCAACAGTGCAGCAGGGCGCTTTATCTTTGACGTGCAGTCTGTGCTCCAGATGTGCCAAAGTTATGTTTTATAGCTGCAATGTCTAGGGAGATGGATAGTGTTCATATTTGATTTGACATGGATGGAGGTGTATCATATTTACTCATGTTATTGCTCCAGTTTATGTTTGCAGCGTCCTGTCAGCTAATGTGGGACACATTTTGGTGCATGATGCTTTGAAAAAGGCCAGTTTATTTATATAGCAAATGACAGCAACAAGGGAAAGAGCTTCATATAAAACGTCAAAAGACAAAGTGCAAAAAATACATTATTAAAGCACCAATTATTGTTCTATGTGTTGAATCTAAGTAGTATTTTTTTATTTGAATCATTGTATTGCTATGGGATGTTTGTTATGTTTAGGGTTGCTAAACATATACCGTGATACTTTCTGAGATGGTTATCGTTACAACCCTAGTTATGTTTCGAAAACCAATAAAGATAATGCTGAAAAAATGTGACAAAAGTTGGCAAGTCAGCTAACTACAGTCAGAATTATTATGTATTGTTTATGCTTTTATTTCTTTCTTATCTTCTGCAGTTGTTAGTTTGAATATGTATTATGCTGTTTCTTATTGACAATTTGTGAAATTGTGGAAGTGCAACTGTTACTATAATACAAATTAAAAAACACCAACACATCCGGTAATTGTCTCACGCAATTCGGGCACTTCCGGTTCCTGGAAACCACCGCCTCTTTGGTTCCCACCCAAACAAAAAAGCTCCGATGGAGATTTCTACCCTCAGAAACAGCTCTGTTTCCGGCCAGCTAATCAACGTCAGTTAGCTGTGATTGTTATTAAAAAAAAAATCTAGCTTCTGTTAGCTCGGCTACTATCGCTTTCTGTGACGTCACTGTAACTAACTTGGCTGCTTTGTAATTTCACCCCATTGCGCAACAGTCAGTAACTAGCTATAGCTGCTGCTTTTCAGTCTCCAAACAGCAGCTCTGGAGAGATGACAAGCGGTTTGTCGGTCACCTGCGGCTCTACTTCCAAACAGGTCTGACAGCCCTGGCTCGGATCGGATCGGTTCGGCTTGGCATGTCACCGAGGATTTGTTGAGTCAAGCTAGCTACGAGGTGAGTGTTTGTGTGTGAGGCTAGCTTGGTTAGGTAAAGGTTGAGGCTGGTGTTCTGGCTGTGTCTTGTTTGTCCCTATGAGGACAAGTGGTGGAAGAAGTACTCTGATCCTTTACTAAAGTAAAAGTACTTATACCACAGAGTAGAAGCTATGTTACAAGTAATAGTCCTGCATTGTGATTACAATATTTAACTCGTAATTATCAATGTATTCAGTGTTATTTAGCAATTTGACAAGTAGAAAGCTCAGAGAATGTTATGAAAATGTACTGTACTTGAGGTACTTTTACTGAATTTGAATTCATTTTCTGGTTTAAACTACTTTATATTCTATACGTTTACCACATAATACCCTATACTTCTACTTCACTGCATTTAAGAGGCATATATTGTACTTTCTACATGCATTTGACAGATTATAAACAAAACATGATCCGTTCATAAGATATATTATCGTACAGTACATATAGTAAAATGTGCTGTTGCTGTAACATTAAAATACTGCTTACGTACTAAAGCATCAGTCATAAAGTTCCAATAATATGATTTATAATAATATAACTCCATTCTGTCCAACAAGCACATTAACTTTGATACTTAAAGTACATTTTGCTGGTAATACCTTTGTACTCTTGTTACTTTTATTTGTAACAAGAGTGTTTTTACTGACAATAAGAGTACCTTTTCCACTGACTGTATCTTTATAAAGTGAATATTTTGGGTTGTTGGAAGAAACTAGAGGTTTAAGACTGGACTCTGGTAACTCGTTACAAGCATGTGCTCATGTGTTTTTGACATATTCTTTAGTGGCAGTCCCACTTCACAATTTGGAGGGTGAGACAAAGTTGTGGCAATTACAGTTTGGTTTCACTTTCATGTTCTCAGCACCATATCTTAATAACAATACATAGAAATACATCAGATATCTGCAGACACAACAGGTGACACGGACCTACAAATTTGAAATGCATGCAAATAGTTTTTATGATTTAATTAGTATTGCCACTTATTTGTTGTCTATCCTGTCTTGTCATCACACTGAGCATCCTTGAACACTAACCCCTCCCCCTTCTTCCTGTTTCCTCTGCTGCGGTCTCATCCTGGGCTTTTCCTCCACACTCCAGTTACCATGAGTGCGATGCGCGTGGACGCCAAAGTGGTGATGCTGGGAAAGGAGAGCGTGGGGAAGACCAGCCTGGTGGAGAGATACGTTCATCATCGCTTCTTGGTCGGCCCGTACCAGAATGTGAGTGTCGGCTGCTCCGCTTCAATTTCCATGCCCACGATGAAAGACATTATTTTTATATATTTTGCCCTGGGGAGGTTGTGGTAATCAGGCTCAAGTCTGTGATCATCTCAAAGCATAGAAGCACTCACATTGACCGATGCTGCATTAGACAAGCATATTAAATGTTGGAGCTATGCAGACATGCCTCTCTCGTGTCCTGTTTTTATAAATTCACAGTTGCTTGAAGCAACACAGCAGCTTTGGGAGTATTTAGACGAGGAGTGTAACGATACACCAAAGGCACGGTTTGGTGGGAATTCGGAACAGCTGTAAAAAAACAAACAAATGCATAAAGATCTGTTTCTATTCTTTCATTATGAACAGACAGTAGTGCAAGTGTCAAAGACGGACACAGTCGTCTTACTGAGGACTGAAGGAGCATTTTGATCACTGGCAACTTTGGTGAACTATTTTGATTATTAAAATAAGGGATAATTTTAACACTCCTGTATTATAATGTACGAACACTAAACAAACACTTTCCCAAAAGGCAACAGGTCACAATAGTCTATAAAACCGAAAAGCATCTCTTATACTGTGAAACTGAAATAAAAAAATGAATAGAATAAAAAAATATTTCAGTTAGTTCCACCGTCGCAATATACATACCTTCAAAGTAAACAGTTATGTATTGCACTGTATTCAGCAGTACATTGTGAACTGTGAACTAACAGTCCGTCCTCGTCTTACACACAACTCTGTTGTAGCTGACCTTGCACCCACAAGCTGGTATTCCAGCGCCGCTGTTTTATTTGTGTTCGTCATATTGATACTGATCCGCTTGTTGTGCTAATTTTAGCAGATGTGCTAACTGCATATGTCTTAAAGACTTGTGCTTATGAACTTTTGTTCCGCTTTATGTGCATCATTCTATATCCCGTGTGTTCTGCATCCACTGAGCCGTAACGGCACGATTACACAAACTGTAACAGCACACGGACGTCTTCACTTTTTGCATTATATATTTAATTTATAAAGGATTGAATGTTATTGTTTTTGACTGTCAATCTACACGCAATAAGTCGGAATGACGAAAACTAAAATCTCTCAATTACGTAAACACTTAGTAACCAGGTTAACCCACACTTCCACCGTACAGTATCTGCTGATTACCAGTTCACAGCCAACTGCAAAGAAAATGTAAATGTCTTTATTGCAGGATTATGAGCAGAAGCTCCATGTTATCGTTCAGACAGAGTTCCCACAGTCTACAGGAGTCCAAACATTTCCATCCATGAGTGTCTGGTCCCCATTTTCTCTTCCTGACAGACTATCGGTGCTGCTTTCGTTGCCAAACCAATCCAGGTGGGAGAGAAAGTGATCACTCTGGGAATATGGGTGAGTTCGAGGCGACCGGATATGAATGTTAGTCTGTTTTCTGCATCAGTCCCACAATTTGGCAACAGATTCAGCATTGTACTCCTATAACGTTGTCTGACTCAAGGTGGACGGTTAAAACTAAAAAAGGATCAAAATAAATACAGCAGAACCAGATCTATTGTCTTTGTTTTATACATCATTTTCCCATCAAAACCTGGCGCCTACATTACCCACAATGCAACTCAACCACAGACCGTTTATTTTGAATCCATGGTGTTTTTATTTGTTTATCTAAGTTTTCCAATAAGATGAATGGTATAAATTCAGCTTTAGTATTAAAAGTTATTTAATATTTTCAGAGAACTAGTGAAGGTACCTTTTATCATACATATGATGATAAACAGTAATTCTTCTTCTGTGTTGGATAAATGATAAATGCATGACTTGCATATTACAGTACCTTATCTGTAGATTGATTAGACTTAATAAGCAATTGTCAGTTTTATTAAATAATAACCAAAAGAAACAGTTGAGGTTTAAGTTTTTCCTTTAATTTATTGTCTTATTGTTATTTATTTACATATTGTTTTATTTGTAAATGCATTATTTTGTGGAAACTTGTTAATAATGACCGAAATAAATGACTCCTTCTCGGTCATTCCAGAACTTTCAGAGCATTTAGGGGAAATGAGCTTGGAGCTCATCACACTGGGTATTACGAGGCATTCAAAGCCTGCATGGGGGTTCTAGGAGACTGTTAACAGTTATTATCAGATCTCAGGTGTGAGGGCCGAGACATTACTGGAAGATGGATCTCAGTATTTTTCTTTCTCCGTCCGTCTCACTCAGGACACGGCTGGATCAGAGCGCTACGAAGCCATGAGCAGAATCTACTACAGAGGAGCCCGGGCTGCCATAGTCTGCTACGGTAAACCTGCACTCATCCTAATCATCTTAACGACAGCACTCGGGTGTCAGAACTCTGGGAGCTCTTTTAGTATTTGGGCCACAGCTGAATGCATTTGTAAATGGACATACAGAACTGAATGCACATGGTTCTTTTATATGTAAATATATCACCGTTTACCATCCAGTTGTTTGTGTTTGTGTTAAACCTTTAAATTCCTTTTTTACGCGACTCTTCATTGAGAGGAATCAATAGCTGGTGGATGAGTCTTGGCTCCGAGTTCTGGCTTTGCTGTCCTTGTGCGCTTTATGCACGTTTGTGTTTACATACATATCTTATTTCTGACTTTTAGATATGACCGACACCAGCAGCTTCCAGCGAGCTCGGTTCTGGGTGAAGGAGCTGCAGAACTGCGAGGAAGTAAGAGAGCTTTTCTAGTCTAAAGTTAAAGGTAACGGAGCTTAACTGTAACTCTGTAACATTATGTTGTGGTTCTCTTGACTGTGTTGTTTCCTCCAGCACTGTAAGATCTACCTGTGTGGCACGAAGAGCGACCTGATTGAGGGAGATCGAAGCCTGCGGCAAATCGACTACCACGATGCTCAGGACTTTGCTGACGGTAAATACCGTCTCCCGGTTATAAACTGGTCACTATACTGGTACTCTAATCTGTACAGAACTGTGTGATTGATAATGTACAGTACTGTCATGGAGCCTTCATTTAAATGTCTGACCAGCAGAACACAACAGATCAATGTGGTTATTTTAGCTTCATATTTGTACGTGTGCACTAACACGTTGTTTATATATTATGCCACACTGATAGTTTCCTCTCTTATTAATGTACAAAATCCACACGTGAAACACCCTTCACGGGGTCTGCAGGGCTGGAAAAGTCTTAACAAGCGTTGGATTTTGTATCCTCAAAAAAAGAAAGGGCATTATAACCTCAACTGTACGTTTTTGTATCTGATTGCAGGCTTTCAGTAGCGAGGAAGCTCATAGTCTCATAATATTCAAAATCTTAAATTAACCAGTTTTATTTGGTTAATCCATTAATGCATTTTCTGCCACTCATCTGGGTCCAGGTTGCTTTGATTCCATTAATAATATTCAGAATTTTTTTAAATATACTGCTAAGAAGTACTGACTTCTGGGGCCTAATTCTTCAATCATGCTTTCAGACTTCGGCCGGTAAAACTGTGAAAACGGGTAAAAGCTAAAATATCTTCGATTGAACTTGGTGAACTCTGCAGAAACCAGTTTAAGGCTTTACATTCTAGCCGTGTTAGCAGAGTTAATCTTTAAACCTGAAAACAGGTTTTACTATTTACCTGGACATTTGAGATTATGTTACTGCCCAAACTGGGGAATAAATAGATCCCCAAAAGGCTTCTAAACGTCCTGAACGTGGTTAAAGGATATTAAAAAATGGTTAACCTCTCTTTCAAACGTTTGTGCAGCAGCCCGGCTGACGTTTAACCTCCCTGCTTTGGTTTGCTTCACAGAGATCGGTGCGCTGTTATTTGAGACCTCCAGTAAAACAGGAAACAACGTGGGTGAGTCACACCTTCAGTCATCCTGCAGAACGTATTTAACACGGGCGGTTGGCTGTCATCACAGCTGTATTTATTCACGGTCTGTCAATTGAGGAAGTGAGTTTCCCTCAGAACTCTTAATACTGACAAATGTTGGCAACTTTTCAAGCACATAAACTCACTTGATTGTTGTAACACAACACCCATCCACACATAGACAGGGAAAGTGTCTTTCCTGACTATCTGCTGTTTGGAACATTTGAACTAGAAAGTCTCCATTAAGCAAACTAGTTTCACAATCTGTCACGATTCTTCAGCACCTCACGGTGACAGGGAGAAACAGGTTTTTAACCCCTCTCACAACCTCAATAACAACATTACTACTTCTTCCGTACACTTTCAATTTTCAAGTAAACATCTCTCATCATTCTATGCGTGTGCACTGCATCACAGAATTATCTAATAAATGATTAAACTGATGAGAAAATGTAGGCGTATCATTGTGATAAGAAGGGATGAGTGTCCCTCATGTCTTGATAAATCCATTAAGAAAGATGTAATGGACAGCTATAGGCGTCACTGTTGCACATTCACTGTGCAAAAAGAACTGTAGAAGGAGCTGCTTCTAATTCTAAACTAATTCAACTGAGCTTTAAAGTCAAATTTCCCCAAGGAGAAGTAAATAAAACTAAATAACAGAAACTCTTCGATTGCAAACATTTAAATAATATGGAGGAGGGTAATAGTAAAGTGTTTGCTATTTGGAAATGAATATGTAAGACATGAGTCAAATTGAGACATTGGTCTCTCATAGAGACTATTGTCACAAAGTGAGAATAAAGTGATTTTCTAACCCTCAGTGGGAACTCTTATCCCAGTCACGTTGTCAGACTTTGACTTCGATGACAGATGCACCACAGAGAGCCGTCAGTGGGACCAAATCCCTGTAATCACAGTATCTTTGAGAAAAATATATTGTCAAAGATATCAGCTTTTGAACAGAGATGACCACTGAGAGCCTCTTTTCTGTTCAAGCTCGACAACACCTAACATCATGTACGAGTGCATTTCAAGCTTCACAGATCAGAAAAGAGAAACAAGCACACGCATGTGAACATGATGTAATACAGTATACCGTGGACCATGAGCTGAAACACAACATTAACATGTGTAAAGTAGTCAAATTCCACTTGAGAACAACAGTAAAGGCTTGTTTGTTTCTGGCGTAGATAATGTAACGGTGACAGTGTGCTAGGCTTAATGGAGGAAGGGTTTTTGGAGCCTCTCTCATCAAACATGCTGCTTGTTTGAAACTAAATGTGGCACAGTTATTGCTTTTTATAAACCAGGTGTTATGAACCCGAGTGGATCTCTTTTTAATCCGGTCTTGATGGAAACTGACGAGCTTCATTCTTTCATCTGCTTTGACAGACGAGTTGTTCCAGAAAATTGCTGATGATTACAACACTACTGCCTTCCAGTATATGACACGTGAGTATTCTATCCACCAAAACTCAGGAATCCTTCAATGCAATCTAAAAAGGGGGATTTTGAAACATACCGACCTCTTTATAAACCAAACGAGCGTCGGGGACCATTAGACCCCGGCCGTGACCACCGGGTTTGAGCCGGGAAAATGAGCCGTTTGTTCGGCTCATTTTCTGTAACCAGTGTAGCATTAAAGCACGGTGGAACTGTCAAGCTTGTCGAACCGTCCATTTACTAGCTAGCTTGTTAATTCCACCGTGTGTTAATGCTACATTGATTACAGCAAAATAAGCCGAACAGAGTTGTCACTCGATGTGCTTTCCTACGCTGTGAGGAGTGTATGGATGAAGCATTCAATTGTTACGCGTTACTTATTTACTCCGGCTCTCTACGCTTCGTAACATTACTGCAAAACCTCGGTGAGTCGGCGACTTGCCATAAGTCGGTTTGGTTTATATGGAAGTTAGCGGTCACAATGGCAAAGGTACACATGTAAATTGTGTACTTCACATAATTCTTCACGAGTACTTTCATGTTTTGCACCGCTATATAATTTTGTACTTTTACTGATGTAACATCTTGAATGCAGGACTTTTACTTTTAAGAGTAATTCTACAATGTTGTAAAAGTACTATACATACAATACACTTCATCACTATGTTGCCGATCTCTCTCATAAAGCTGCACACTAAATATCAAGCAAGGTGGTTAGCCTAGCTTAGCATGAAGACTGGAAACAAGTAGCCTGGCTCCAGCCAAAGGAAAGAAAAGCAGCTCTAAGGCTCACGGTTATCTTGGTCGTTTAATCCAAAGTGTGAGAATGTTTATCTAAAAAGGGACAAGATTTCCTTCACTGATCCCAAAGCTGCTACAAAGACAAGCTTTTGAACATAAAGTCTCTTCCTGTTTTTGCAGCAGAGGAGACGGGAGTGGACTTGGGCCAGAAGAAAGACTCGTATTTCTACTCCTGTTGCCATAATAACTGATGCCGGGGCAGCAGGAAGGGGAACAGAAGTGCTGACCTTCCTTTGGCTGGAGGAAAAACGTCGCTAAGATGGATGGATGGAAGAAGTCACAGAAGGAGGAAGAAAAGAAAAACAAAAAAAATCAAGCAGTTCTGTTAAAAACTTATGTTCATTTCTTTTGTGCCATAAAGAACTGACGGCTTTAAGACTTTATGGAAGAGGATCTACTGCAGCTGTTACTGGGTGGGATAGAGGGATTCAAACAAACACTTCCTCATTTCCATTTTCTTCTGCAGCTTCTTGACCGTGGAAGTAAACGTGTCTCTAAAGCGGTGGCGTTTATCAATCTGCAGTTAAAAAGATGGATCCCACTGAACACACACTAGCAGAGAAAACTTGATTAATTGAGCGAGAAGTGCAGCGCGTCAGGAGGGTGAAGGGTTTGTTTACAGCAGTTCATTTTTGTTTACCTGTTTAAACCTGTCTGTCAGTCATCGTCGATGAAGCCGACAAATGGAGTGAAGCCAAATCGGCTACAAAAAAAACTTACTTAAAATTAATTTATTTTTGCAAATCTGGTACAACTCATGAATGAATTGATCCCAATGAGCCTTATAAAGGCATTAATACCCCGCAGTAGATGTATCAAGAGAGCTGGATGGGGCGCTACCACGCTGCCGCTGGTCATGTGTGGTACTGCAATATTTTTTATTTGTGAATATCGTTTTTTGGCTTATGTGCTGGGTGAGTGACTTTCCTTCAAATGAATCCAGTTCTTATAATACATCCATACATAAGACAGCACGCACCAAACCTCTCTGTACGTTTGCAGCATCAGCTAAGAGTTCGATTTAAAAGCGACTATAACAACATCTCTAATTCAATTGCATGGCCTGAGCTCACTGAAAGACAATGATAAAAGGACAGTTACTCTTTCTACATTGAAGGTCTAAATGATCCATTTTACCATTTCAAATGCAAAGTACACATGTGGAAATGTGACTTGTCAACTTTTTCTTTCAGTGAAATGTTCCTTCGAAGCTCCGAAAGGTTTTTAAGAAACACTGATCAAAGTTCCCTTCCTCTGTGGTGAGAAACAGCATATTTCACCAACACAGGAGAAACACACACTCTCTGTGGGTGAATGTTGTAACGCGGCTCAAACTGTCATCTCAATGTCCTCGGAACAATAGTTACAGCTGCATTTAACTCTAATTTATTGCCTTTTAAGTTGTGCTGCCAGGAAGACGTGGGGAAATAAATTGACACAATACGAGTTTCCTCCATGTTGCTGCTTTGATGTGTTGACGTTTCACGTGTTGATATTTTGATGCACAATATTTTATATTGAGGGCTGTTTAGGACAGACCGGTGTAAAGTACGAATATGTTGTGTAAGATTAAAAGCTTGTTAAAATGTTTAAAAAGCGCTGAAAGATTTTAAAGGGATCGAGCCACACGTTTGTTTGCCTTTGTGTGTAATATCTGAGCTTTTTAAGCATTTGAGTGAAAAATAATGGCAATATACTGTTTTTAAAAATCTAAAAATGTGTTGCAAATCATCACCAACCTTAACATGAATGCATCACGGCCTACAGAACTCAATCTGTGGCGCAAAGAAAACATTTTTTTTGTATTCAGTTTCCAGCAGCTTATTCCACTTACAGATGATTTTGCTGGTTTCAAACGTCTCCGTAGTATCATCTCACGTCGTACATCTCCACCCTGAACGAAAACAAACATCTCCATAAAAGCTTGTGCCTCAAAAAGGGACGTTACAATAAGCCAAATAAAATCACTTGAAATCAGCAAAACTGTCACTGGAATCGACAAATCGTTGAGCCCATCACCTGTGCTTTGTAGTGCAAAACATAACCTGTATTATAGTCATTTAAAATATAAACTGTCCTCTGTGGTGCATTCAGGGACTTTCTAACATGTCAGAATTGATCATGACCCAAAAAGCACAGATGAGCTACGCCACTGGAAATAAATAAAGAGACAAAGTCTGCAGGTCTTGAAAAGCATTAAATTCAGATCCCTAAAAAAAGGCCTTACAAGGTATCAAAGTCTGATATATTATTTTTTTTAATCGGTTAATTCATCCATCAATTTGCTTTGCTTATCTGCAGTGAATTGATTAATTGTATTACTATAAATGTTGGTTATATACAGCTAAGAGGTACAGACAAACGAGATATTAATGTTAAAACTTTATTATAAATAATTGTAGGCCTTACTGTCTCCACTGGTCATTCTTATCATTGAAAAAGATTAAATTGCATTGTGGTCCTTACATTTGTTTTGTGAATGCAGAAACCCTGTATTAAAAATGATAAAACAATACATCTAGAAACTTAAACTATGCATTGGAAAATGTTATGAAATAGGCGAGTTTGGGGTTTTTAATCAAGGAACATGTCTGCTCCTATAAACAAGTGGGAAAAGAGATCTAAAGAAACTCCTGAAGTGAAACTCACCTCTTTATTTTGTTAGTGTGATGTTCAGCTGTGTCATTCTCATCCCCTCCACCTTCATTGTGCTGCAAAAAATAAAAAGTCATTTTCAGTATTTAAAGTTTAAATCAAGTAGAAAAACGAAAAAACTTACTTCCTGACTTGAACCCGATCACTACAAAAGCTGATTTACACCGGAGACCTCGTTTACAACGTTCCTGCCGTTAATAAATGCTGATTCATTATTTATTAAAGATGCCATTATTTTTGCAGCGGTGTTTACTGTGAATGTATTGCAACATGTTTACACTCTTGTACAGCCTGGCCTGTGATTCATCTTCTTTGTAAAACTTAATTTAAATCTTCAAATCCATCGACACCAGAGTTTCTTCATCGGTTTCCACTTTATCTCTGGTAATTTGATAACTTTTGTTTTTTTTAACTCACCTGTGGCTCACCTACACAGATTCTTCTTTCAGCTGATTAGACCTCTCTGGCTTCCCCTTCCTGGCTGAATCCAAAAGATATGTCTCTGACAACACCTACAAAATGTGCAAAGTGAAAAATAAAGTTTACCTCGGCATCTCCATCTCCTGTTTGATTGTCAGATATCTGGCATTGTTCACTCCGACTGCCGTTTCCCTCCGTTACAGAAACAATTAACCAGAGTTGAGTTGGCAAAGCACAGGTGTTCCTAATAACACTAATGACAGCTTTGTTCTATTCAAGTGCCCCAGTAAGTCATGACAGAGAGCCAACATGCAGAAGAACCTGCAGCTAAAAGGCCTATTTTACTCATTTGCTACCTTTAGCTAAATCATGGATGTATTGAGAGTTTCTTCTCTGTCTGGTCATTTGTCCCATGTGACCACTCACAGTACTGCAACGGTAGACCAAAAAGCATTTCCCCCCACAGACCACCATCATAAAAGAGACTGTGAAACACTTCAAACAGTAAATATATGGTCAATTATTACCGTTTGTGTTATGACTATTTAATCCAGTGAGGGTGATTTGTCACTCTGACAAGGGCTTGTGTGAGCTGTTGTGGTTGATCTTATATGTTTTAAAGCACTTGAGAGGTTACATGATCTTCCCGGAACGCTGAATTGTGATTCATTCATTAAATTGTGATATAATTTAATTAATAACGAATTTAAAGCCACATATGATTCAAAAAGCCTTATGTCATAGAAATAATGTCGAAGATGCTCAGAGTCAAAGATCTATATTTCCTATGCTGCTTCATGTTGAACACAATAAATTAAAAAAAGAACGAGGCCAGTAAAAAGCTTATTTCATAACTTCTTTTTCTTATATATTTATATATAGCAGTTGTTTTAACAGGTCAATAGTTGAGATCTAACGGGTCATAATTACACTGGAATGAAACACTGCTTGTTGGGCAACTGTAAAAAGGCATTAGTAGGGACACTTGGCTTTCACAGGCGCCAAAACCATTCCTTAAAAATAGCTCCAAAGAAAAACACGCTAAGGCATTGGCAGATAACACACAGACAATACTAAGCTTGAAGACAGAGCGAAAACACATGTGGCAAGAACATATACTGGAGTAAGCGTCACGGCAGGAGTCCGTCGTTGCAAGCGTCCCGTCGAAGACTTTTCTGTTTCCCCGTCATCACTTGTGCCTCACAGAGCAGTTTATAAATAATGACCACAGAGCACACGCAGTGCAAGACTGACTGTTGTGATAGATATGAGCTTCTGGAGTGTCCAACCTGTCTCCCTGTGGAGCTACAAGACAGCTTTGGCGGTATAAACTGTATAAACACTTTCTCCGAGGCATGAAGAGTAATCTCAGGCAAACACTGAATCCTCGTCAATTATAGATCCTTTTTTCTTTTTTTTGTCCCCGCTTCTTTTCGTTGCCAGATTCGGTCTAAAACTAGCAGCATCGCCTGCCGTGTGGACTCATGTTGATGCTACGCCAGGCAGCAACATCATGTGGCACTTTCACACTTTATCGATACTCTGATGTTGAAGCACCATCAAATGATCGGGAGCTGGAGGGGAGTAAATGGAAGCAACGACTCCTGTGTCAAGTATAATCGTAATAATAAACGTAACCAATGTCCACTGACCACAAGGAAAAAAAGTTTGGAGCGGTGTTCATGTTTGAAAGCAGATGACAGGTAAATTCATGTTGGTTTTTTTTTTTTTTAAAACGTGGCTACTATTTGATTTCAAATGTAACCAAGTCGAGGTCATTTACGTGGGCCGAAGACTGAAGAGTTCACCCGACCTCGACAGGAAGCTACAGTACAGTGCAGTCTGTTCTAGCAAGAAACACCGACAGTATACACACTGGCTCTACGTACGCTTTGCAGGGTCAACTTGCTTGAAATACTACCGAGAACAAATACCAAAAACAAACCAGCAGGTGATATCTGTGAGAGAAAACAAGTATATTGGAGTGAAATATGTTTACAAATATCAAGTTGTACATTTATGTAGAAGTTCCAGATAATTGTCTTTGTCAGATCTCCCATATGAAGGTGCAGTCAGCGCTAGTGTGTGCAAAGTCACCGAGTCATGAACCGAGCGTGTAACCGATTATTAGGACAAAACTAAATAAATAATAAAAGGAAAGTCTGTGTATAAATATGGTTCTCTACAGTATTTATTCTGTTTATTTATTTGATTCGTGAACACTTTATTTATGTGTTGATTTAGTTTTGTCCTAAAATGTCCTCCATACAGTGACAGACTGGGCTACTTGTGATTGGTTTATCTGCCCTGGGAGGGTTCGCTGCCTGCAGTTATAATAATAATCCACTGTGCGTCACTCCTCTTCTTCTTCTTCCTCCTCCTCCTCCTCCTCCTCCTCCTCCTCCTCCTCCTCCTCCTCTTCATCGTCGTCCTCTTCCTCCTCTTCGTCCTCCTCGTCATCATCGTCGTCGTCATCATCCTCGCCCGCCTCATCGTCCTCCTCCTCCTCCTCGTCGTCTTCTTTGATCTCAACATATTCCATCACCGCCTCTCCATCCTCTTCGTGAGAATCTGACTTCTGCCTCCCCAGCTCGCCCTCTTCCTCCGACTCCTCCTCCACTTCCTCCACTTCCTCCAGCAGCTCCTCTTCCTCCTCCTCCTCGTCCTCTAAGACATCCCTCTCCTCCTCATACGAGGAGATGGGCGAGTAGTGCGGGAGGTCATACGCTGGAGGGCTGCTGGGAGCATCTGAGCTGCTGGGGGGAGGCGAGGAAGCTGGCGCGGTAACAGGAATAGTGACGGGTACCGGGATGGACAACGCGGGGAGCGACTCGGAGGGACGCGTGCCGCCGCCGGCACTGATCTCCTGCACCTTCCTGCCGGTCGGTTTCGGACTGGTGGTGGTGTTAGAAGCAGCAGAGGGGATGACTGCCATGCCCAGCCCCGAGGTCAAGGCTCTGGGCTCGGGCGTGTACTCCCGGATCTCCCCTGGTTCCAGTGGGTCGGGCCCACAGGGGTCGTGCTCGCTGCAGCACAGCCTGCCATCCAGCTTGGAGATGAAGAGCAGGCCTTCGCGGTGCTGGTTGCAGTAGGAGCTGGGGCACATCTCGCAGAAGGACGCCGCCTCCTTGTTACATATGTCACACTGGTGCCACGGACACTCCCAACGCCCTACAATGAATATACAGACAAGGACGTCAAGGAAAGTACAAAAGGAACTTTGTTTCCATGTTTGGGATTTGAGTCTGATAAGGTATTATGCTGTTTAATTAGTCTCAAAACCCACTCACATTAAAACCAGGTGCGCACAGAACAATATCTGCAAGCGAAAAACATCCCCACGAGGGAGCATTTCTGCTCCTCATGCACAAATGCGATCCCACAAGCTCGGGGCTGTGATAAGCACAAGCTCGACTCTTCCTACGCGCTCACAACTGCTCGAGGGGATGGAATGAAATAAACAGTGGCTGGAGCCTCTGCTCCTCTGATTGGTCACTTTAAAAAACCAGAGTCTGATCAATGTTTCTGCTGTGATACACACGCCGTCGTTCAAAGGTTTTCAATCATGAAAATTAAATGTTTTTTGTCTTCTGAGGTTATTTATTTATCAAAAATGTAAATGCAGGTGTGTGAATCTCTTCCGCTGCTAAAATGGGTCGCAAAATATACTTGGACGGCCGTTTATATATCCCTGGGTGGCTCGCTCTAATAGCCAACAACTGAAATGTTTTACCATGTAGTTTTCTAGGGAAAACTCCCCTGGCACACACACAGCAGGAAGTGACTGCATTTGCCAAACACCACAGATTTCATCAAAAGAAAATGTGAGTTATTGTGTTAAACAGAGAGCCACTGACCTGCAGGCCTCTTGGTGAGGTTGAGGCAGTCGGCGTGGTAGACTTTGGGGCAGCCGGGTCTCTTACAGGAGACCATCTGTCCTCCGTCTCCGCAGCTGTAACACTCGTCCTCTCGTTCTTTGGTCACCACCACCTTCTTCTTCCTCTTGCCGTGGCCCCTCCTCTTCATCTTTCGGCCTTTGTCGTCAGATGGAGGGTTGTTCTGGTTTGGAGAGGAGAGAAGCTTTAAACGGGGCTTTTGTTGAGCTGACTTCATGTTTACCTTTCAATTGACTGATTTCAGCATTTAAATAATTTGTAACTCGGTACATTCCACCACTGACCTCAGGTGTTAAAACAATATATGAGCATTTCAATTTGTGTCATCGCCCTCACCTTTGGTCTGACGCCCAAGAAGCCGCTGCAGTTTGGTGCCCCACATTTACAGACCGTCTTCCCGTTCCCCAAACACTCCAGGTTGTAGTTGAAAGTGAGCTCTGTGCCTAAACAGAAACACACAAAATACCTCCACATAAGCATTTCCTCATTTGCATTTGTTTTCCCCATTAAACTTGTGTGTGTGTGATGTCCAATACTCTTGATTGTGGTGGTTTTATTTTATTTACCTGCAGCGACGTCGACGAGAGCGAACAGTCCCACCCGGGTGTCTCCGCTCACCGTCCACTTCTGCGTCTCACAGTTCGGCTGACAGCAGTGGTTCATGAAGCGAGCCTCGTTCCCCTTGGGCCCGGCGTCGATGATTCGATCCTAAAAACACACATTTACATATTTTACACCACTTTGAAAAGACACAGATGGTAAATGTATATATAAACATGCAAACATATATTTCTTGTTTCCTCACTGTCAAAACAGGGTACCACCAACATGAGGTTTTAGTATTAGTACACACTTAAACTGACACACTCTGGCTGTGGAGCTGTACCTTGTCCAGAGTCAGCATGTAGAAGTTACAGATGTCGTTCTCCTGGGCGTGTCTGATCCTGGACCTGCACTCCTCCTCGTCAATCACCTCCCCGACATACTCGCTCACAAAGTGACCCTGAAACAAAAAACGTTCAACATCATTTGGCCTGATGCAATCACTCGAAACCGCAAACCACACTTCCTGATGGCGACTCTGTGGTGGTACAGCAGTGCCAGTAGAATTAGTGATAGAAGTAGTTACCTTCTTGATGTCGTGGACACAGCGGAGTCCCCAGCCTCGAGACAGCGTCCTGAAGATCTCCACCTGGCTGTACTGACGCTTGCTGAACGCCTGGTTGAGGCAGTGCTCGCCCGCCGGGCAAACCTGCAAACATTTCAGCCTCTTTGAGCTCAGTGTTTTGGTTTTACAGAGCTTTAGTGAGCTTAAGCTCATTGTTTATCTGTCCGGACCAAACCTTTTTGTTGTGGTTCACTCTCACTTTAAAAAGCCACTGTACACTACCTGCTAAGCAGCAAACAGCAGACGGACATGAATTTGATAAAGAGGGAAATTGTCAATGTTTTGGATGAAGATAATGTATATTTCTGCTACTCGTACATTTTTTCTGTTGAGTTTTTAATGAGAAAAACTTGAAAAGAAAGATTTGAAAAGACAGTTAAGGATTTGATGCAGAGCAGATTATTGATCAGCATTATCTAGACAGATATATTTGTCAATATCATACTTTCCAAAAAGCTAATGAGAAAATAGACCAGTCACAGTTCTTGCCTTCGCCATGCAGCTCCTACATTAAGGTGTAGGTAACTCAGCACCTCGACACACAGCATAGTTTAGTCTTGATTTTTGATCATCATCCATAAATACCTATAAATCTATAAAACATGTAGTGAGTGTGATGGAGGGGTCTCTGTACCTGCGGGTGACATTCGTACAGCAGCATGCGGTTGATGCACTCAGAGTCCATCCCACATGGACTCTCATCTGTCGCCTTGCAGTTACACCGCGGGATCTCCGATAGGTCGGCCGTGAAGATCTGCACCTTCCCTATTGGTCGATTCACCTGAACGAGTCAAAAAGGTTGAAGGAGACATGAATTCTCTCACAGCAATTATCTTTAAATCTGTCAGAGTGATTATATGAAGTAATCTTTCAAGTTTGTCAGAGATCAGTAGTATTAAGCATGACTTGTACTAATGCTCAGCACCAGAATAATACATAATTAATAAATAAACATACAGTAAAAATATTCACCTTGATGGTACAAAGAACAAAGCGTCTCCCTGACCTTAATATGTTTGTACGGAGGAGGCTTCCTGTCGTTCTTCCTGTCCTCTTGAAGCTGCCGAAGCTCCTTCTCCGCTTGCAGCTCACGAAATCGAACAGCCGCCTCCTCCAAAGCTGAGGAGGGAGAACAACAGTCAGACACTCAAGTCATCATAGCAGGAACAAACAGAAGACACAACCAACAACACAAGAACCCACAGGATACCTTTCTTGTAGGTGGCATCAACACCTTTCCCCATCTTCTCCTTGCTGTTGGCGTCCACGTCCATATAAGGGAAGACCCTGGCCTGGTACGTCCAAAGGTAATCGTTGGAGCCGAAGAAGTGAACGGGAAATTCCCCGACATCGTGCTTCATCCGCTGAATGTTCTCCGGGATCGTTTTGGGATGGCTGACCTCCGCTGGCCACCACCTTTACGGAGCATTAGAGGAAAAAACATAAAAGTTGGTCATTAACAGGGTACAACTAAAGAGTCTAAAACACACGCTTGCAGCTCTGTGAGGCTGTACTTAACCACATCAGTGCTTTGAGCTAAATGCTAACATCCCCATGCTAACAAACTCATAATGACAATACAGGCAAATATATTTACTATGTTAATCCTATGAGTTTAGCATGTTTGTATGCTAATTTTTGCCAACAGGCACTAATTACAAAGTACAGCTGAGGCTGATGGGAATTTCATCAGTTCTGCAGGTATTTGGTAACAAACCAAAGCATTGGACACATGAAATTGTTGACCCGAGGACGGCGCCAAATGAAAAGTCAGTTCAACTTGAAGGGAACATGAATGTCTAAACCAGATTTCATGGCAATTTATTCAATAGTTGTTCAGACGTTTCACTCAAATATACTTCTTGTCACCCTCAGGGGCAACACATCCCAAATAACATCTTGTTTTTAACTTGACAAGACTTTTGTTTAGAAAATAAAATAAAAACTGACCTGTACCGGCCAACCTTCACCCAGAGGATGTCCTTAAAGCGAGGTTTCTTCCCAGCCTTGCAGTCATTGCAGTACCAGCTGCCTTTAGGCATCTCCATTTTCAGACACTCCCGGTGGAACGCAGCAGGACAGGACTCACAGCACAGCAGACTGCCCCCTAGAGGATGTGAGGGGGAACTGCATCAACCGTTGCATGTGAACGTTAGCTAGACCTAC